GATCCCCTGGAAGTTTCATCTGAACTGTTGGCTCAGAGCACAACCCAAGAAGGGGTTGGGTGAGAGGAAAGCTGTGGAACAAGTCTGAGCACCTTCACTACAGCCTGATGCTCATCTCCAGCCACCCCATGGAGATGACCACAGCCAGGACAGATTGAAGGATGGGAATCTCTCTCCAAGCAATCTGTGGATTGTCTCCAGTGGCTGAATGCTTGGCCAGAGGGTTTCCCAATCCATGTGGAAATGCTGAGCTGTGTCTGAGGAAGGGGAATGGCGAGGCTGCAGCTCACCAAGGAGCAGAGAACAGGGCTCCCACTGAGCATTGGGACAACTCCAGTGGTTTACCCAAATGAGCAAAAGCAGGGGGCTTTGTGACCGCTCCCCAGTGCCCCTTTATTCCAGCTCATAGTTGCTTTATCTCTCCAGGCGTTGACTCTGTGTTATCTCAAACTGGTCCCTGGGCCCAGGCAGCTCCTGAATGTTATCGCCACCTCTCCCACAAAAATCACCTCCAGCTCATGTTTGCTCTCAAATTTGCAAACACAGCTCACACCCTGCCAGCTGCTCACACCAGCCCAGCCTGCTCAGGCCCAGACTAAGCAAACCCACCCTCCTCTTCCTGCCCCTCCATTGTCGGGACCACCTCAGGGCCCATGAGTGTGCAGTCCACAACCAGGAGGTTTGAATGGCCTTTCTGGAATTCAGTGTGGGAAGTGGGTCATGGAAGGACCCCATCCCAGTTCAGATCCACACCAGAGGGTGCTCTGAGGTCCCTCAGCTGAGCTGGGGTGCATGAGGCAGAACTTGCTTATACATCTATGAGCTGTAGCCCAGCTCCAAATCTCCACAGCTTTGCTCCTTCCTCTTCTGGACCTCGTCCCAGATCCCTTTGGATTTTTTTTCCTTGTCTCTCATCCTTTTGTAGTGCAAAGGCTCCAAACAATAAATGTGACACATGCACCCAGATCCCTGCCACCTCCTCCCACCCTGAGTGTCACTGGGGTTCCTGAGACCTTTCTAAAGGTCTCCCTTGGCCCTTTCCCCATCCCTACACCTCCCTCAGCTCCAGCTGTGAGTGCAAACCCATCAGAGCCTCACACATGTCCTGGTAGGATATATCATGTCTCTAGCCTACCTAGGCCACCTAAATCCTTCTGCACCTAAAATTTGACCTCGAGAGGCTTTAAGCAGGTTCCAGCAGTTGCCTGCAGATGTTTCAAAATTCGGAGCTGACCTGGCCGGGTTGAAAGGATTCCAAGATTCAAGACCTTGAAAGAGACTTTGCCATGGCCATCACTGGTGGATGGTCATGACATGGCAATTAGCACCTCCCATCCTTACAAACTTTGGGCATGGAACAGTTCCAGGGAGCACAGAGGCTGTCACCTTGGCCAGGGGCTGCCCTGTATCCAAAATCAGGTTATTTGCTATGGTTATGCCACAAAATGGTTGTGGGCCATACAAAATGAAAGAAAACTCTGTCAAAGCATCTACATAGAAGAGAAAAATCCAGAGAAGCCAATGTTGATGCTTTCTAGACATGAATTCTCCTCAGGAAACATCTATGCACTGGCCCTGCCCTGCACCAGGCAAACTGAAATTTATGTAAAATCTGGGCAGTCATGGTTGCATTCCCATGGGCTCTTTTCCCTCTGAGCACTCTAAGAACATAGGCATTTTTATCAGGTGGAGAAGTTGAACAAGCTTCTCTCAGACTGTCAAAGTTTGCCATTGGAAAAGCAAGAATATTCTCCTGTTTTGAGCCAACAACCCTTCGGTCCACAGCAGAGAGTTGTGGCAGCTCTTCTGAAGGGGTAAAACTAACTTTGGACCCAAGGAAGAAATGTCCCTAGAAAAATTGCTGGAGAAGGCTCCCTGAGCAGATGTGGAAAAAAGACACCAACAGAGAAACCAGGGATTTCCCTGTGATTGTAGTTTAGCAAAGTTGGGAGAAACTGCAAAATTCTGCTTTGAGCAGAAATCACCTCGTGATCTCCACACAAGGTGAAACACCAGCCTTGCCCAGCTCTGTTTTTGCTATGTATCCCTTATCTGTGTGCTCAGTTTCCAACTATGTCCTCCAGACCATCTCACACCAAAGCAAGGAGCAAAAAATAACAGAAGAAAGCAAAATCAGAACAAATACATCCAGTCCTCCAGTACCACATTTCACCAGAGAGCAACTGTTTATAGCTGAGCAGCCAGAGCCATAAACTGCCTGGGTAATTTCTCATTTCTATCTATTACCTTGATTTTTCCTCAATATATTTGAAATTAAAATTCCCAACTAAATTGAAGATAGATTATGGCCAAGACAAGTTTAATCTTTGCTGTGGGAGCAAGGGATTGAGGTGAAAAAAACCTCAGAACCCAAAACTTCCTAGATGTGCTCGGGTCACCTCACTGTTTTGCCAGAGTCCTATTATTTTTATTCACTCTGGCACTATTGTTCCCAATATAAATTGCCATTGTCAGGATAATAAATAGGGGTTGATAATGGAAATGCTGACAAACCATTAACTCTGGGGTAGTTTGTGAGGGGGGTTTTCTGGAGATCAAGGTGCCATACACTTAAAATAAACATTGGGATGATGCACTTAAATAGTATCTGAACAAATTAATAATAGGATGGATTTTTAGCATATTTTCCCCCCACTCTGATTGGGGCACCACCTTTTCTTGTGGTGGGTGTGAAGAAGTGCCCATAGGAGCAGGATTCGAGAGACAATCTATAAAGCAAAGCACTGGGACGTGAGGCTTTGCTCCAGCTTCTCCAGAGACTGGAAGTGTCAGACAATCCATAACAGGACGAAAAAAGGGAGCAGGGAGGGGGGTGGCTACAGAAGAACAAGCCCAGTTCATTAAAAAGAAAGGGAAAAATTCCACCTCGTTTTGTAGGGTAGTGCTGATAGCACTGGGCACATAAAGGACCACATAAATATTAATATTCCCTCACAATGAGCCCACAGCATCTCACCGACACCACTGAGGGTGAGGACAGCAACTTTGGGGGGCTCACACATCCACCACCTTTATTTTTTATGGTTGTCCTTTATTCCTTGGGTTCTTTTATGTCCCTTTTTGTAGGTGACTGCAGTAAACCTTGCAAACACAAAGGAAAATTCCACTCTAAGATGAGAGCTTCATCAGAAACCCCAATATTTAGGATAGGATGCTTATTTCTGTCCATGGCTGGGAGGGATCCACAGAGCTTGTGGGATGGAGCTGAGGAATCATGGAAAGAGAGAATCCCAGGATGGTTTGTGTTGGAAGGGATTTTTGAGACCATCTTGTTCCACCCCCTTCTGTGGGCAGGGCCATGGACACACTGATCTCCAGCAGCCCCTCTAAATGCAGGAAAATCCTGCTAATACAGGAAATCCATCCCCTCAACATTCCCATTTAGAATATGAACACCCACCTGACAGACACCAGTCTGGAGGTTTTGGAATTGCAAAAAAGAAAACATCCCTAGTTTTCTGCTTTTTGCTGTAGGGCTGAGGTCAGCAACTAAGGTGTTCTGGAGGAACAAAACCCCACAAATCTCAAGTTTTCTGATTTCTTCAAACATTGGTGTAGTTCCCAGAGCTGAACACTTGAAAATGTTAATTGCTTTTCCTGTAGAGTTGTAGTTTTTGTCATTTTAAGCTTTTTGAGCAGAAGAACTGCAAGAACTGGAAGAACTGCACTGTCTTGTGGGGGAATCTGTGTGGGGAGGGTTTGATTTTTACACCTCAATTTACTCCTCACGTTATTACCTCACGTGGTAATTTTAATCTCTTTCTAAAATCATTAAGGTTGGAGAAGACCTCTAAGATCAAGTCCAGCCATTAACCCACTGAGCTTTTCCAGCCTGTTCTGCCCTTTGCTCCCTGAGTTTTCCCTTGGTGAAGCTGCTGGGCTTTGCTGCTTGGGGGAGCAGTGTGTGAACACCAGCCCTGCACAAACACCCTTCTTTGGATGTCATCCTTCAGCTGGATGCCCAGGCAGGATCAGGCTCAAGTCCTTCTAGGAAAATGCATCTCTGTACCTGAGAGTCAAAGCAGGGACATTCCAAGCCACAGCTCCAGCAAGAGGATGATGTTCAGGGCACCTGCCTGGGGAAGCTACAGCACAGCCAAAGCCAGACACCAGCTGGGAATGAGGATCCAGAGAGGAGCAACACAAAAACACAGCTCAGGGGATGAAACACCTCCCCAGCTGAGGCCACAGCCACACTGGGTTATACTGGTTTGATTTGTGCCTTCTCTTGAGAGAAGCAATTTTTGTGCACAATGCCCCTTTCTGTATGTCTTAGAAATGCCATTTTGCAGAAGTTCTGCAGTGATTTCCTGATATAATTGGCTTCTTCCCTCCATTCTGGCTGTATCAAAGCACAGAGGCCAGATGGGTATAAGAGTCTAAGTGCCTTTTTTCTCACTGTATTAAGGCTAGAAGAAACCCCAGATAATCCTGTTGTAACCTAATTGTTTGCACCCCGAGATACTCTGGGCACAACTGGGACAGGAATGATTCCCGTGGCATAAAAAAAACTGTAACCAAAGGAGAATTAGGGAGAAATCCAGCCTGGTGGTGTTAGCCCAAATAGAAATACAGTGAGCTGAACTGTGACATATCCTCTTAGGAAAGGATCTTCTCCAGTGACAAGACTATTAGTGACTTCTGGTGGGGAGCCACACACAGCCACACAGCTGGGGCAGGAATCTGAGCCAGAGCCACCTGTGGCAAAGAGGCATGAATCTCCCCATGGAGCAGCCTGGGCAATACCTCAGGGTACATAATTAGCTGTAATGAGTTTTGCTGAACCTCAGCTGAGGGAGCATGAGGTATCATGGCAGGGGGTTTGCCTTGAGGTACCTCCAAAGACCTGTTTTCCAAACCAAGTGGGCACCCAAGGTTGTTTTTGGCTGAAATTTGGGTTGCCCACTGAAAATCCCCCACTGCTCACACAGAGAATGTCCTGTGCCCTCCCGCCTCTCCCCTGGCACACCAGGCCCTACCTGGCAGCCCCAGGATGGTGAAGTAGCCGCGGCACTCGGTGAAGCCGGAACTCTCCCGGACACAGGTGCGCCACAGGCCCTGGTAGTTGAAGACGGCGGTCACCGGGTTGTTGTACAGGTCCTGGGTGCTCCACTGGTCCATGCACGTGGATGCGATGATGCCTCCGATCCCCAGGGCGGACACCACGAAGCCCATGGACTGGCAGATTGTCACTGACATGGTGCCAGGTGCGCGGGATCCACGTCCTGGGCGCACACAAGCCTCCACAAGCCGGGTCTGGGGCAGGCAGCCAGGGCACCAGGGACTTTTAGCTGGAGGCACTGCCGACGTCACGCCAGCAGTCAAGAGAGCTCTGGGTGCACCACGCAAACCTCCCCTTGCCTTTATCTGTTTCGGTGAGATAATTTCCTCCCTCGGTACCAAGAGCCATTTGTTCCACCTCGCTCTCTGTTTACCTTCTCCCTCCAGGCAGAGGTGCAGCCGGCATGGCCGGACGGGACCAGCGGGTCCCTCTGCAGAGCTTCACAGAAACACTGGGGCACTCTGGGAGACCAAGCACAGAGGGGCTTAAATTGAATGAAACATGAAAATTATTGGAAGCCCCTAATGCCTTCCTGGCGAGGATGACGCTTTTGAGCCGAGTGGAGAGGTTCAGATTGGATATTAGGAAAAAGTCCTTCATGGACTGGGTTCTCAAGCATTGTAGAAGGCTGCCCAGGGAAGTGTGGAGTCCCCATCCCTGGTAGAGTTTCACAGATGTGTGAAAGTGGCACTTGGGGACATGACTGACCTGGGAGTGCTGAGGGAACAGTTGGACTTGATGATCTGAGTGGGCTTTTCCAACATAAATGATTCCATGATTTATTAGCATGGCTCCATCTGGCTCAACCAAAACATTCAAGCTGAGGTTAATGCATAAAAAAGAGAATCTTGTGGCAATAGGTGCTTGGGCAGACCTCAGGAAGGTTGGGCTGGGAGCCCACAGGAAAGGCAGCATTTGCTGCAGAGTGAAAGGTGTGAACCTGCAGTTTGCTGTGGGAGGACCATGGGGAAAACATAGACAAAATTGCATATCCTCTATTATTGTTTTATACCCCTCATCCAAACAGGAATTTGGACTTCTTTCTGTGGACAAAGGAAGACGGCAGGGAAGACCTGCTGTAAGACCAGAGCACCCTAAGAGACCTGGCATTATTGCAGAAAACGCCTTTGTGGCGTAATGCCCTGTTTGCCCATTCTGCTCCATCCCTCACCACTTTCTTCCTAGCCCAGTTTTCCACAGGTACCAACCTGTTTGTGGTTGGAGAGGAACACAGAATGTGCAGAAGAGGAGGAGAGGAGGAGCCCTGTTCCAGCAGTGCCAGATACACAGAGCATGTGGAGGGGTCAAGGAGGAACCTTTGGGAGAAGTGGAGCTCAGTGGGATGACATTTAGGTGGAGGAAGTGGGAGGTCAGGAGGAAGCATGTGAAGGAGTGGACCTCTGTCACCTGGCTGAATTTACCCTTGCTCAAGGAGCCCAGAGTCTCTCCCAGATGCTTGGCCTCAATGCCTTGAGGACTTCCCTGTAAAGGTGCTTCTGAGGAAGATCCAACCTGCTGTGGGAGCAAAATCTCAGAGATTATTTTGGTCCTGCAGCTTTTTGAGAGAAAGAAGCAAAGGACCGTGGGAAGTCACCCGGTCTGCTCCCATGTCCAAAGCAGAGCAGCTCTACTCACGAAGCTCTGAGGGAGATGTCACTTTCACTTAAGATTCCAGAGCCTCAATTATCAATTCCAAAAATGTTGTTTCTAACACCGATGTTTGTTACACATCATTCAGGAAATTAATGCCCAAAATTAAACACCAACCAGGAAAAAGATGGCTCCAAAGAGTCCACAGGTTTAAATGGAACACTACCCCATTTTCCCTTTTTCCCCCCAAAAGAACAGGATCGGTGTTTCATGTGCTTTCACAACCAACTCCTTCTCCCTGACATTTTTTGGCAGTCCTGGTGCCACACCTCACCCACTCCATGTTGGGGCTGTTAATTCCTTTCGGTATCGGTCAACAGAACTTTAATCACGGAAAGCTTTCCCAGTATCACGTAGCTAAATATAGAGCCTGAGTCCAGAGCACAAACACACTCCCTGTGTTTGTCACCACTGGGATCGCCTGGAGACGGAAAAGACTCATGGCAGCCAACGATTGTGTTCAACGCATTAACTCAAAGGATAAATTCACCTTGCAATAGATCAACTTGGAAGGTCTGGAAAAAGCATCTCCACTTGGTACTCGTCGATCCCTGGGTGGGGAGTGCAATATACCTGCAAAGGGATGGATTTTGTCCAAATTATCACCCATTTATTTCAAAATGTGCCAATGTACAGAAGACAGAAGAGCAGGGCCTTGGTGTGTGAGCAGCGGTGTTCCCAACAAAAAATTTCCTAACCTTAACAAAAAGGACAGTTTTCTGCTCTGGGAGGATCTCACAGTGAAAATAGCAAAGGAACAAACTCCTTCAACCACCTAAACTTGATGTGACCTGTGTAACTCATCTCAGTTATCTCACACGACAGGGATACAGCAAGGACAAAGCCTTCCCTGGGTATTTTTCTTAGGAATGACACCGAAAGCTGCTCCTCCAGCTGTGCCTACTGGCCATCCCCGATGCTGTGACCGCTTAAGTGGGAAATTACACCTGTTAAAAAGTAGAGTTTGTGCTGCTCTCTGGGATTTAAGAGATTTAGCTTCACTTTAGCCTTGCTGCTGCCTGTGGGAAGGGGACCCCTCCCGGGGTGTTGCCTGGAGCCGTCAGCCCCTTCCCACCTGCAGGGTCCTCTCACTCTAACACCTCACCACTCCTCACCATCTTCACAACCCCACTGAACCTACTGCTTCCAGCACAGTGGAGAGGATTTCTCTTGAATATGGGATTTGTCCCTGCCAAGGAGGACGCCTGGACTGCCTAATTATTTTATTCATAAGCCGGCCGTGCTTTCAAAGACATCTGGGTGACCTATCTAAAGCTAAGTGAATCCCTCACCCCGGAGGAGCCCCGCTCCTCCTGATCCCTCCGGGGAGCCGGGGCTGGGTGGCGGAGGAGCTGCCGGGGGAGTTCTGCGGAGCCGGACAATGAGGAACACATTGACAAAGTGTTCACATTATTGGCTGATGGGTCTGCATCAGTCACTCATTCACAAGCACAAGGTCTAAATTGCAGAACCAATTAACGGCACTAATAGCCCTTGCCTGAATTAATCTTTGAGACAAAAGAGGAGAGAAGTGGAAGAGCTATTAGCAAATCAAGCTGTACCATCCCTGCTTTATTGCAAGAATCTAAGTGTCTGTATTTGGCTATTATGAACTGACTGCAATTACAGCCCTCATTTAAAATGATTAAGTGGTTATAATTATTTTTCAATTAAAACTTAGATCTTCCATTTATACAACATTGCAGGCTTCAATTAAAGTCCTTTTTCCCTTTTTTTTAAATTTTTTTTTTTTTTGAGGACAAAAGTGCCACTATGCCAAAAGACTCTTGCATCTCTTCTGGCCATTGAGAGCCGAGTAACATGGTAATAACACCTTTGTTTGCATCCCTCCTTCCTGGCCTCCTGAACTCCTGTGTGGCCAAGGAGATAAACTGCCAGGCACAGCACCTGCCAAAGGTTAGGAGAAACGAGCTTGGAAAGCTCTACAAGCCTCAAATACCTCTGAAATCAGGTAAATCCACCTGGAATGGTGCCTTAACCACCCTCAGGGCTAAGCGGTGCTGCAGGAGTTATTTATAAAAGATTTGGGGGACTGGAGGGTTTGTCTGGGGCTTCTGGAAAGAGCAAAACCACTGCAGAACACAGAACTAGGAGGAGAACTAGGAGCTCATCTGACAGCAGATGAGCTTAGGAGAAGTTTCTGCCAAGCCTGATTTTAAACATCTGAGGAGAGAAAAGCCAAGGTCTTTGTATGAAATAAACCCCAGTGAAAACTTTCTCTAGTTTTATTTCAAAATGGCATTTCCATTTCTAACTGTACTTACAAGAACAGGAAGAGGTTTGAAAGGGAGAGGAGAGGGAGAGGGAGAGGGAAATTCAGGAAAAATGTGGTGGTCCAGCCAAGATGTATTTTCCTATGATTTTCTTTTTTTACCAACATGGCCCCAAAAAAATTATTTATTATTTTCATTACCAACATAAGGCTGAGGAGTTCTAATAGTGTTACTTGGCCATGACTTTTGTCACCAAGTTTGACTTGATGGTGACTGTCATGAGGTGAGAGAGGCAGCTGCCATAAAACCAGACCACACCAAAAAGTCACTCCCTTCAACTTGGTGTGACCTCCAACATAAAATGGCACAGCCAGAAATGCTGGGCACACCAGGAAACTTAGAGAGAGAGGAAGTTTTGCAATCCTGCAAGGAGGGCTGGGTGGAGGGGGTGACTCAGAGAGGCAGGGTCAGACAGGAGGGCTCAGGCAGCAGTGTCACTCTGCTTGTCCCAACACATCACAACAACACCCACAGCTTCCTGCTCTCAGGGTCTTCAAGGAGCTACGAGCAGCCCTTTCCCTGCACAAGCTCATGAGCTCCACCACAACAGCTCTTTGGACAAGTCCAAGCACGAGCAGCTTCTCAAGAAGGGTGAACTTCACACAATCTCTCAGCTGCTTCTCCCCTGCCTGTCCCCAGGAGGAGATGGGGGAAATGTGTGGGCAGGAGGAGCTTTTGTCCACCGCAAAGAGCTCAGCAGAATCATGAATCACCGGCTGTTTCCCTGGTTTGCATTAGGGAGCAGCCACACCAGAGGTATTGCTGGAAGATTTAGGGAAAGCCCTTTTTCTGTCCAACCTCAACTCAACTCTGCAGCCTTTCGTGTTTCAACCAGAGACTTAAAACTGGCTCATACTGAAGGATGCCCAGCTCAGGTGCATTGAACTGGGGGTTCCAGGGGCTCCAGTACCCAGAACTGGCACTTGGACACATGCACAGCTTTGGCCAATGTGTCTTCTCTGGGTCACGGAATCACAGAATGGTTTGGGTTGGAAGAAGCCCATCCAGTCCCACCTCCTGCTGTGCCCAGGGGGACCTTCCACTACCCCAGGTTGCTCCAAGCCCCTCCAATCTGGCCCTGGACTCTTCCAGGGATGAGGCAGCTTCTCTGGGCAGCCTATTCCAAGGTCTGTTGGTGCTTGGGAGCAGGAGACTTGGGAATAAATCAGGTCACTGGAGGGAGACAACCCAGA